CCGTCCAGTGGTTCTTCATATAAATCTTCTCTCAATTTAAAGTTACCCTAGTAAAAACACCAGCGTCAACCATGGCTTTCTCTTCCTCTTCTCCTTAATCTAATCCGGTCAGTTTTGCTCCCCCCCCCCCCCTGCCCCCGCACCCACCCTCCTCCCCGCCAAGACTTATCCCTTTCATTCTGTGTCTTCTGACATTGCCTTGGCTTAGCTCTTATTCTTCCCAAGTTAGAGCATGACCCTGAACAGCTTGCTGATCCCTGTGATGAGCCTGGCTGACCTCAGTGGTGAATCTAGGTGCTTGGACAGGGAATTGTTGAAAGTCTAATTCCTTAAGGCATGAATGAGACTTGTAGCTGAGATCTCAGTGGACAGCTGGGAGGCTAATATTTCCCTAGGCTGACAAGCCAGAGTCAATTGATTTAAACTTCATCAAACTCAGACCACTCTCTGGCTAGGTCCTAACAATGTTTCTTGGCACCATGGAGTTAGTTAATGAGACGAAGACCACTAAAATGCCCAGAGCAATTTTCTGTTACCTTAAATGTTTAAGATCCACATGAGAAGGAGACCTTTACATTTTAAACATATTTGTCATTAATAACTCTGGGCATCATGTATGACACTTTTCAATTAGATCTGAAGTGTAGTTTGATAAATATTTTTTAATATGGCTCTTTCTTAAAAACTGGGGGGATACATTTGCTGGGCAAATATTTTATCTAAAATGTATGTTGCCCTCTGTCTTGATGTATTGGATGATTGGGCTTTATTAAAGACAAGCAGACTTTAATATAATCATTCAGCTATATTACTATGCTCCAGGCCTCTTACCTTTGTTTCTGACTATACTGGAAAGATTTATGGTCAGGAGAAAGGGTCCTTCAACAGAGCAAATAATCTCTAGAGGGTTAAAACATGTGTGCATTTTGACAACTTTAATCATTAATTAGTGACTTAATGCTTTTAAAACACTTTTGGATGAGCTATGTGTATGCATCATGAACTACAGGTGACCTTAAAAAATAATTGGATCTGCTTTCTAATTAATTACAGTTATAAGGGCATTAGAACAATTGTTAAAAAATCAAAGCCATCCATTGTGGTTGGTGCTTTTGGCCTCTGATTCATAGTTAATATTTCTATACTTCAAAAGTCCTATTTAAATGTATAGGCTTTCATATCTCTATATATAAAAGCCTGCTGTGCTGAGTGTCTGCCTGATTGGTCAACCATTCAGTTGACTGCTCCACCAGTCGTTAAGACATGCACTGGCCACCTAGGGGCAGACACTCCGACTGGTAGGTTAGCTTGCTGCTGGGGTCCGGCCAATTGGGACTGGGTGAGATGGGCCAGACATGATATGGAGCCCTCCCACAGTCTCTCCCCAGCCGGCCAACCTCCTGTGGTTCCTTCCCGGCTGGCCAGCCCTGATTGGCCCTGATGGGGACTGGGCAAGATGGGCCGGGCACGCCCTGGAGCCAACCTCCTGCAGTCCCTCCTGGGCCTCTAAAATATTTCTTCCAATGAATTTCCTTTCAGTGTGCACAGATTCATGCACCAGGCCTCTATTTTTAAATAATATATTTTAGAAATTTTAATAGAAAGGTAGATTGTTCAAAGTTAGGTACATATGGTGTTTTACTAAATTCTATTATTTTTAGCTGTGGCAGGCATTTATTCCTTCCTGACTGAAGGCCTGCTTTGGTGATGTACAATTGTGTCACCTTTATTAATCATCTATCAGTGAATTAGGGTGAAGCCTAAATTGCTTTTGTTGTTGTTGTTGTTGTTAATCCTCACCTGAGGATATTTTTGCCATTTATTTTCAGAGAGAGTAGAAGAGAGAGAAGGGGGTGGGCAGGAGAAACATTGATTCAAGAGAGACACATAGATTGGTTGCCTCCTGCACATGCCTTGACTGGGAATGGAACCTGAGACCTTTTGGTGTGTGGGCTGACACTGTAACACAGGCCAGGGCCTAAGTTGCTTTTTGAAGGAAGTTTTATCCCTGCTCAGAGTTGTTCCCTTGCATAATTTCTGATGATTGTGAGTCCAGCTTTCTGTCCAGGAGTAAATTCTCTTTAAGCTCTTCACAGGTGGCCAGGTCTGTTGCTATCTTAACATCCTCAATTGCACTTAACTGCAGCATAGAAGAGTTGCCATTCTGGGATGAGATGGGTTACAAAATCTTGATCTACTTGCCTCTCAAAAGTCATAGGCAGCCAAATTTCATGGAGTATTGCCTGAAGACTATGATGTATCTTCATTTATAGACACTGGGAAAAATGTTATCTATCTATCTATATAAAAGGCTAATATGCAAAGTGTCCCTTTGGGAGTTTGATCGCTCGCTATGGCGTATGCTGACCACCAGGGGGCAAGGCGGAAGGAAGGAAAGCTGCATCCAGGGAAGGGAGACCCTGGCCAGCAGCTGGCAAAGAGAGGCACCGGCCAGCAGCCAGAAGGCCCCAATCCGCTCTGATCACTAGCCAGGCCTAGGGACCTTACCCATGCACAAATTTTGTGCACCGGGCCTCTAGTCCTATACTAATAAAAGACAAACATGCAAATTGACTGTACTCTCGCTATGCCTTAAGCCAGGCCCACCAGCCAATCAGAGCAACTATATGCAAATTAACCCAACCAAGATGGTGGCCGGCAGCCACGGAGCTGGAGTGAGCAGGAGGCTTGCTTGCTCCAGTGATGGAGGAAGCCAAGGTTCCCCACCTGCCGTGGCCTGGCTCTGAGCTCCACTGAAAGCAACAAAGTTTCAATTATAGAAGGTAAACAAACCTCAGATATCTGCTTTCAGCCAGCCGTGGCCACTGAGCTGGAGTGAGCAGGAGTGGGTTGCCCCTGGTGATGGAGGAATCCAAGCTTTTCCCAGGCCTCCACTAAAGGCAATAAAGTTTCAATTATAGAAGGTAAATAAATCCCTGAATAAAAAAGGAAAAATGAAAAACAGGAGAGGCTGGGAGCTTATGTCGCCAGGGTGCTTGGCCAGCCTGAAAACAGCCCTCAGCCCCTCACCCAGACTGGCCAGGAACCCCAGTGAGGACCCCCCACCCTAAAGAGGGTGTGGCCAGCCTGAAAACAGCCCTCAGCCCCTCACCCAGGCTGGCCAAACCTCCATGGGGTAAGGGTCCCCACTGGAGTGGACATCCTCTGAGGGGTCCCACACTACAAGAGGGCATAGACCGGGCTGAGAGACCCCCCGAGTGCACAAATTTTTGTGCACCGGGCCTCTAGTATATATATAAAAGGCTAATATGCAAAGTGTCCCCTCGGGAGTTCAACTGGGAGACTAGGAGTTCTATCGCTCTCTATGATGTGCACTGACCACCAGGGGGTGGCACGGAATGAAGGAAGGCCCTGGCCAGCAGCCAGCAGCTGGGGAAGGAAGGCCCCGATCGGCCCTGATTGCAGGCCAGACCTAGGAATCCTACTCATGCATGAATTTCATGCACCGGGCCTCTAGTATCAATAATAATTTAGTCCTTACTAGATTCTACATATCATTCTCCATACTTAACTATTAGCTCACTTAACCCTCATAGCAGCACTGGACATAGATTTCTATTTGTTACCTTCATTTTACAGATGAGAAAAGTTGAGGAAAAGAGAGCTTTAGTTACCCCAAAGCAGAGATAAGTAATAGAGCCAGGATTTGAACCTAGAAATCTGGCTCCATGGTCTGAGCTCCTGACCATGCTATCAGGATTTCCTTTCACCAATGATAGAAGTGAACTGAGGGGAAAAATCCCTGAGAAACAGAGGAAAATAGTTGTGTGAAGGACACTGATAGAAAATGATCAGAGAGGTAGGAGAAAAACAGGGAGGCACCCTGATTCAAGGACAGAGAAAGTTTTAAGAAGGAAGGAGAGGTCAAGAGTGTTCATGCCACACAAATGTCATGGAAGAAAATAACTAGAAAATGTCCACTGGGCCTGAGGACATCTTCCACCTTAACAAGAGCAAAACTCATGGAAGAGGGAGAGGTAGGTGGAAGCCAGATTGTGGTGCTGGGGGAAAATCAAGTGGTAAGGAACTGGAGAGAGCAAGCTCTATTGTGGAAAATGACTTTTCCTTTAGGAAAGTTTAAAGTAGGAGCCAAATTTTCATCCATGATGCAGTTAGAGAAGAGATTCTTACCTTCAGTGGTAGGGTGTCTAATCAGCATCTCAAGCCATTGGTAAAGGACCTGTTTTTTTTCTTTTTTTAATTTCTAATTTGTTGTTGATCAAGACTCCAATACCAGTATATGGACCACACTTTGAAGGGCCCTTCCAGCTTGATGATGAGTTATGAATAACATAGAGTCTTTGATCTTCTTGACAAGCTGGTGTTTATCTTCTCTTATCCTTCCTTATGGCTTTTCATAGTATAACCGAGTTTTTAATCCCTTTTTAATATGGTTTAGAACCTTATTTTCAAAGTTTATCTCTTTAGCTCTTACTCTGCTTTTATATGAAAAGTGTTAATTTTCTAATATATTTTATCTTCTTATTGGGACCTTATTTTCTAATTTATATTTTACCTTTTTTTGTGCTGTGTAGGGATTTGGAATTTATGGGGTGGGGGTAAGGTAGTAAAACATTTCACTTTAACAGAGAAGAATATTTATTTTTTAAAACTATTACATTTATTGGGGTGACAGTGGTTAAGATTACATAGGTTTTAATTGTACAGTTCTATAATACATTATCTGTGTACTGCATTGCATGGTCAAGTCTCCTATTCTTCATCACTGATGTTGTCTAAATTGCCTACTTGGGGTGATAACAAAAAGCAGACCACCTGTTGGCCAGTTTTATTACTGTTTTTTGCATTCTCTACAGACAATGCACCTTCTTATCATCTGTATCTGGGATGAAATGCTTCCAGTATCCCCTGGAAATGCCATTGGCCTTAATTTTATATTAAGAGCAAAAATACTTCAAATTCCTGTATAGCTGCCAATTAAATTGTATTCAGATTATCATTATCTTCACATTTTATAGGCCAGTGACTACTTCTCAAAGGCTTTAAAGTTTGATCCAGAAAATGAATGTGCTACCATGAATCGAGCTATTGCAAATACAATATTAAAGAAGTATGAAGAAGCAAAAGAAGATTTTGCAAATGTAGTTGAAAGCTGTCCCTTTTGGGCTGCCGTGTTTTTTAACAGAGCACAGTTCTATTGTTGTTTAAAGCAATATGAATTAGCTGAGGAAGACCTCAGTAAAGGTATATTTTTTTGTACTGTTTTGGGTAAGATTACAGTGGTTGATGTGTTTTTTAAATAATAAAAGAACAAACCTATCAGGTTTATTGGTCTAGAAAAACTTACATTAGAAATGAGTGTTTTTATATACCATGTCTTTAATGTAATCAATATGAGTTTCTTTATGTAATAACTTGCAGTATTGGTCAGTTTAGATGCAGAAAATTATTAGGGAAACTAGACACAAGCATTGGCAGCCTTTCAAAGAAAGACATTGTACTGTTTCCCCAATTTAATTTTCTAAGAAAGATTCAATGTTTTCAATTTAAATAGGTGCCTATGAAGAAAATGTTTTCAAACAAGTAATACTAAAGTTGTTATAAGATTTTTATTTTAAAAACTGAGACCTTTCGAGTATTAGCATAAAACACATCTTGCATTTTTTTTCTTTTACAGCTCTGTCTTTGAACCCTAATGATGCCCTGGTATATAATCTGAGAGCAGAAGTTCGTGGTAAAATGGGTGCGATTGAGGAAGCTATGGCTGACTATAACCAAGCACTTGATCTTCAAGAATTTGCCAAGTGATATGATTATAGAGACTGGTTTCTGTAGCAGTTTACACAGCTGTTAAACCAGAAATTGAAATGTATTTGTTGTTTAAAACAAAGTTGCACTATCTTCACTATTGTATTCATTATATTTCGTCTTCTCTATAACCCTTTTATGCATTTTAACAACACATTTATGCTCTATATTAATTTTAAAACATTTAGATCATTTTATGCATATTTGGAAAACCTCAATAATTGAATTTCTTCATTAGATGCAGAATTTAAATGGGAATGTTTCTTAAAGATTATTAACACTTCAAATATTTTCTTTAAAGTAAAATAATTCCTTTTGAAATATTACTGCATGATTGTAGAAAAAGTGTCAACCGTTTTCTCAATATCTGCTCACAATTAAATTCAATGGTACACAGATTAAAAAATAAATATAGAGCTGATGACTATAAAGAAATTGAAGTTGTGTACATTTCCTCTCTCCTCCTTTAAGTGATGTCTATCCAGGCTGGTATCTCTCCTACCGCTCACATTCTTCCAACAGATAAATACATCCCCTTTTTGTAACGTTCCCTCCCTTCCAGAACAGCACCTATAAGATTCTGAGCACACGGTTCCTTGGGGATGTTCCCTCTACTTTAATGTAAATTTGTAAACATGCACTTGCAATTGGTGCTTCTTAGTAGGTGACAAGTAAAAATAAGTTAAAACAGCTAAAAATGCTTTATAGACTATCTGTTGAGTGAACCAACAGAGAACCCCTTTCTTCATCTTACTGATAGTAACAAGGTCTTCTGACTTGGAGCTCATTCAGACTTGCTTCACTCAGTTTCTTTTCCTTGTTCATTTCATTCTCCCCGTACCTCTCCAGCTCCCCGGAGACCTGTGTTCACTGAGGTCGGGCATTCTGGGAAAGAATTCGTCTTCCACCGAGCTTCATTTGATCTTAGTTTGATGTGCCGGACTTTCACAATGGAAAGTGGATTTTCAATGTGGTGATGCTTCACGTTCTTCAGAAAACTTTCTTGACAAGCTATGTGGCCCCCATCATCTTTAGAGGGGTACTTCAGACTGGTGAGGCACGCACACATTTAACAAGCTGCTCAGGTCCTCTTGCCCTCACTTACCTCATCTCTTTAGTCCCAGCCCCAGCCCCAGAAGAGATTCAGGCCAACCTCCGGCAGCCACAGACAGCCCCTCCTCTCAGGCCCAGCAACAGCTGTCTCACCTATGGCCTTGGCATCGCTTCCTGCTGAGGCGTCTGCTGTGGGATTCTCCCAGTGTCCACCCACGTGCACTGTGGGTGTGTAGCAGACCGAAGTCCCTGTCATATGAGCCTTTGGTGACGGGAGAAAGGAGCTAGTAGGTAGGTTCTTCTCCCTCCCATCTGTTGGTGGACTGTCCTGAGACACGTGGTTTACACAGCTTCCCGGAGGATCCTACTGGTACTGAGAGAAGCAATCAGTTGGCACTTATGGCAGCCAGCTCCAAAACTTGCCTTGCATTAGTGCTTCTTTCTTTCCTGCCTGGCTCCCCTTTGTCACCACTCCTGCTTTCCTGGGTCTGTACTTCTTGGCTTCTGGCTCTCTGGGGCGTTCCTATCCCCCCACCGTAGCCCGCCCCCCATAACCTCCATGCACACCCTTCGTGAGCTTTTCCCTTCCCTGCCTTACTCCCTGCGCCCTCACACCAAGGAAGGGGCAGTGAAGCTGGGTCCGGAGCAGCACAAAGGCCCATGGGCAGGGGCGTTGAATAGTAAGGTCCTCCGTGCAGCCTGGTGTCAGGACAGCGATACAGAAGTGGGGAAGTAAAGAAGCAGGTTTGGGGGAGGGCTGGAGCAAAGTTTTGGGGAGGAAATGGGTGGAAAGCATGTCAAGAAGTCACAACTCAAGGAGTTAAGACTTCACTGCCTGTGAGACAGAAGGTGAGGGTGGGCGGGGAGAGCCACCCCTTTAGTCCTTTCTCTCCCCGCATCCTCACATTGATGGCCTGAGGCTATTTTAGCATCACAGATAAACATCGGGCATAGGAAAACTGACCAGCACTCTCCAGAAAGAGGTTGGCTCTGTCCTTTCTGTGCTCCATTCAGGCTCAGTCTTCTCTGAAGGAGAAGGTCCCCGGCGGTGAAGGGAGAGGCTGCAGGTGGAGGCAGATGGAGCGGGCATGTGGACCAGAAAGTGACTTCCAGACATGGGAGCTGAATCAGGCCCTGAGGACCCCAAGGGAAGAGGAAAGAGATGTCTGGATTTCGTCTTTTCCTAATTAGCGTTGTGAGTGTTGACCCCTTCAGCAGACAACTGAGCCTTTGTACTTCCCGCCATGGTAGAACTAAGTTTAGTTTATTTACACAGTTTTTACTAATGATCATCTCTGTGAGTAAAATCAGAGGGAGAAAAGGATAAGGAGAATTTTACTTTTTTGTGTGTGTCAAGATGGAAGAAGGAATGGTAGGATTATAGATAGTTTATACTTTCAATTTTATGCATTTCTGTAATTTACAGGTTTTTGTTAATTATATTAATTGTACTTTTGTAGTTGTATTAATTGTATTTTTTTCTTTACTAGAATATAAGCTCTGTGAGAAGCTTGTCTTTTTTGTTTAGTATTGTTCCTTTTTTGTTTAAAGATATTTAAAAATACCTATAGGTATATTTAAATACCTATAATGACTGGAAAGTGACAGATGCTCAAGATACATGAATTTGCTAAATATAAAGCAAATTACAAATGCAATACTCAATTATTGTGTAGCTATTGTGATGAATTGTCTACTTTTCATATGTTCCTTCATATTTTTGCGTGTCTTCTATATACAGATAATGAAATCTAAGAGTTATCTCCCAAATGTCCTTGCAGCCAGAATTCACAATGTGATTTAGTTTCTGCTAATTTGACACAATGCTGAGACTAACGAGGCGGCATCATGCAAGGCCACCTTCTGCTGCTACTATAACAGCAGGCTCTGGGTGGCTAGATTGTAGCTGTCAGATTTAGCAAATTAAAATACAGCACATCCAGTTGAATTTGAATTTCAGATAAAGGAGGAGTAATTCATGGGCCCAGTTAAACACATGATTCCCAGTTAAACTTGAATATTTTATTTTATTTTTTTGTATAAGTATGTCATATTGCATGGGATACATTTACACTAAAAGTTATTTGTTGTTGATCTGAAATCCAAATTTAAGTTGGCATCCTGTGCTTTATGTAGCAGCCCTACTCTGGAGCCCAGTGATGGCCTGACTTCCTGCCCTGGATGGTATGCACATCTTCCTAGAACCAACAGCTTCTGGGCCCATTTCCTGATCTCCAGCTGCTGCTTCTTGGAGATCAGCCTCCCTCCCAGTTTGGCCTGTTCTGTATTGTTCTTCTGATGGCCCAGCCTAGACATGCTTGCTTCTCTAGACCTTCCAATGATGAGATGTATACAATGTTTATATTTATTCTTTGTATAAAAAATCTTTCTGCTTAAAATTATAAGAATGGTTTCTGTTATCTATAATTGAATTCTGATATTATTTCAGAGATTTAAAAACTAATTTAGGGATTTTCTTTTCTCATGAATAGAATTAAGAGTAATAGTGTCTTTTCTGCAATGAGGTATTTATATAATTTTGTCATGAGCAGTAGATAATCTTGAAAATAATAACTATAATAATTATGATCTTAGCACTTTTTAAAAGCAAAGTAGGTTTTTCATGCTTCACATACATTGTCTCTACTTTCTATACAGCCTTGTAAGGTAGTGGGTATCATTAGATGAGGAAACCCAGGCCCAGAGGATCCAGTTTATAATCAGGGTCACAAAGCTAGTAAATGATGGAGCTGAGAGTCGATCCCCTTCCTAGTTTAAAAGCCCCTGTTTCTCCTTTTTCACCTAGAGAGAAATAAAACAAGTCAAACTCATATTCAATCAAAGACCTTTTATCACATTATTAAAGCTCTCTGCCTGATGATCATTAGTGTATAAATAAGATTTCCAGTCTTCTTACACTTCTTTTTGTATTGACATATATCTGTGTCTATGTCTATATATCTATGTATCTATCAAAATTAACTTTAAATAAGTGCACTATAATAAGATTATCTCAACCTTTTATTTTGAAGTGCAGTCAATGGACAGTATCTTAAATTTTATCCTTAATAGTAAAAAACAGAAATTGGCAGCAAAAAGGTTGGAATGTAGGCAATAAGAAATGGAAGAAAAAGAAAATTATCATTTGTTAAAAATTTACCATGCATCAGAAAGTCAGCTAGGCATTAAGGACATGTTCATTTCACCAATATCAGTGAAGCAGGTCTTACCATTCCCATTGTAAGGAAGAAATATATGTAATATAGAAAGGTTAAATCTTCAGGTTGAGCACTCCTACAATAATGATGCTACCTAAATGTTGCTTTGCTTTTATTTACTAAATATAGTTCTTTAAATCGACTTGCTAATATTAGTTGAATTTACTTAAAGGAAGGAATTTGTGAAAATAAATACATGACTATTTAAAAAATTGTCCTTATTCTACCTAAAACAATCTCTTTTTATACCAGTCACTCATATTACATTTTGGGAAATGTTGTGCTCTATAATATTAATGCTTGATGGGTACAACTGGAAGAGTACTTAGGTTTAGGGAGGGAACAACATATAATACCTATGGAGCTAGGTAATAGAAAGAGAATGGAAAAAAAAAACACAACAACAACAACCCACAAACAAACACAGAAGTTGATTGGCACCTGGACTGGTAGATCCGAGCCAGAAGCAATAATCTTGTGCTTGGAGAGTCAGTCTAAAGATTCTTAGAATGTTGTAACAAAATCCTACTTTCAGAGTTTCTCCAATAGCATAAAAAATGCTTTGTTAACCAATATTTTAGAATCTTTGATTTTCAAAAAATAAGAGGCGCTTTATGACCATTCACTAGGAGATCCCCATATTCAATGTCTCTTCCTCTCCTCATTCATCGTTGTTGTTGTTAATCCTCACACTATATTTTTTCCATTGATTTTTTAGAGACTGGAAGGGAGGAAGGGAGGGAAGGAAGGAGGGAGGGAGGGAGAGAGAGAGAGAGAGAGAGAGAGAGAGAGAGAGAGATATTGAAGTGAGAAAGATACATCAATTGGTTGCCTCCTGAATGCACCCAACCAGGGCCAGGGATAGAACCTGCAACCCAGGTACATGCCGTTGACCAGGAA